GCTTTCTATCTCGGGATTGAAATCATAATAACATATCTATGCATATCTTCAAAATTACAATACAAAAATTAAAATTCATTGTTTCCAATGTAAAATCGACGTGTGTGTAGAGAATTAAGTATGGCATTATGAATTCATAAGTTGTTTCAGTTTCTGACCCTCAATTGTCAAATATGTTCTTTCATCACTTGTAAGATTCACACACCCCTCAACTTATTATTTTCACTCTTTTCCTGTGTGAACTAAGATTTGATTTTTTCACTATCCTCACCTCTCTAGTTTGGCAAAATTTCATAAGTTGCAGTTCAACATTTCAATAAACAAGGATTCTTCATTAAATTTGATTGCTTCAATATCTAGGACTTAACTAGGCTAACAATCTCTTATTAAAAGTCAAATTTTCTTAAACAAGTGTTTGTGACTTAACCAAGTAAAGCATTACATCGTCAATAGGTTCAAAATCATGAATGGTGCAATCTCTGGACCACACGAAGCGAGTCACGTTTAATCAAACTATTCTGGAGTGATGATCAACTTCAATTAAGAGCACTTCTCCTACCATTTTCTTGCGGTGCGGCTAAGGCATGGAAATTGCTTTATTTGCAAACCTCAGGAAAGCTTGAAGATAGAAAAAGCACTTTGATCTTCTATTTCGAAAAAATAAGCGGCTAACGAGGAATAGAAGATTTGCCATTTTGAGTAGGTTCTTAGCCTAATTAAATCAATGGTTAAGATAGCCACGAGCAGAGTATAGGTTGCATGTAAGGAAGGGTGGGCTAGATTCCAAAGATATATTTCATGTTTGTGTAGTAGTTTTATCGGGAGGCATTATTACAAGAAACTAGCGGTGCAACTAGCTAGGTCCTTGAGTTTATTTAAATGAGCCCCTGTTTGGCACCCATTAATTTCTCATTTAATGTAATATTTTTCTCCAAGATTTCATCTTTGAATTTTGTTATTTTTCTCGACTTTTACATCATTTTCTCTAATTTTTCATTAAACATAAAGTTTTACCTACAAAACACAATATAACATAAATTATGTAGAATTTAATCTAAAAGACAATAAAATATCATAATTAGGGCCACGAATAAGTGTGTAAACTACACTTATCACACCCTCAAACTTGAATCTTTGTTTGTCCTCAAACAAAATTAAAACATAACAAACACACAAACAAGCAATGCTAATTACCTAATTGGTGGCCAGTCAATTAAGTAAAGCAACAAGATTTAGCTAGTTAATCTGGCTTTCTATCTCGGAATTGAAATCATAATAACATATCTATGCACATCTTCAAAATTACAATACAAAAATTAAAATTCATTTTTCCAATTGTAAAATCGACGTGTGTGTGTAGAGAATTAAGTATGGCATTATGAATTCATAAGTTGTTTCAGTTTCTGACCCTCAATTGTCAAATATGTTCTTTCATCACTTGTAAGATTCACACATCCCCCAACTTATTATTTTCACTCTTTTCCTGTGTGAACTAAGGTTTGATTTTTTCACTATCCTCACCTCTCTAGTTTGATAAAATTTCATAAGTTGCAGTTCAACATTTCAATAAACAAGGATTCTTCATTAAGTTTGATTGCTTCAATATCTAGGATTTAGTTAGGCTAACAATCTCTTATTAAAAGTCAAATTTTCTTAAACAAGTGTTTGTTACTTAACCAAGTAAAGCATTACATCGTCAATAGGTTCAAAATCATGAATGGTGCAATCCCTGGACCACACGAAGCGAGTCACATTTAATCAAACTATTCTGGAGTGATGATCGACTTCAATTAAGAGCACTTCTCCTACCATTTTCTTGCGGTGCGGCTAAGGCATGGAAATTGCTTTATCAGGAAAGCTTGAAGATCGAAAAAGCACTTTGATCTTCTATTTTGAAAAAATAAGCGGCTAACGAGGAATAGAAGATTTGCCATTTTGAGTAGGTTTTTAGCCTAATTAAATCAATGGTTAAGATAACCACGAGCAGAGTATAGGTTGCATGTAAGGAAGGGTGGGCTAGATTCGAAAGATATATTTGATGTTTGTGTAGTAGTTTTATCAGGAGGCATTATTACAAGAAAACTAGCGGTGCAACTAGCTAGGTCCTTGAGCTTATTTAGAACTTGTCTGGCAGAAATTTTAATCAGATTTTTAGCAAAAATCTGACTGTTGGAGCCGCAATAATTGACTTCATTTTCAAAATTTTGCTTGGTTTGGTCAAAATTCTTCCTGTATAACGGTAAGATTTTTACTCAAAATTTGTGAAAAATTTATCCCAGACAAGTTCTTAAATGAATATTCCCAACTGCGCTTCCATTAGTTTCTTCAAGTAGGAAGGATCTAGAGAAAACTCCCTCCCATTCGACACCATTAAGTGGCATCAAGTGGCATTAAAAGTACTCAACCTTCCTTTCTTTCTGTGTATGCATCAAGTGGCATTAAATGCGCCACAATCAGAATCAAAGAGGATGGGTCAGGTGGAAGTTTGGAACGGAACTCGTAGGATCATCTCTATGTTCTTGAGCTAAGTTTAAAACTTTTACAAGATCTCTATAAGAACAAATGCGTTGATTGGTATACATACTATGGCTGATTCATGATGTAATTACTCCTATTTGATTTCTGCTAGTCAAAGCCGAACGTGCAATGCACGTTATCGTGAAATATTTTCTAAGAATTTTAAAAGTAATATTTGATACCAATTTGTTGGGAGAATGTGATAAGTTTCAAACGGACTAAAGAAAATAAAATTTAGAATATAAATTTAAGAGAAAAAATTGTATTCTCAAAACCCAACTTCTATTATTTAAACTTTTTGTGATGATCAAATACTATAAATGAGCAATCTTTTCATATTACATTTGGTACATAAAAATTAATTGCTAATACATGAATTTAAACATTTATTAAAATTTATAGATACATGAATAGAAATAAATTCATCTTTATTAATTCTAGATTCATTAATTCAAGATTCATTGAATTGGGATTAATGAAAATGTTAATTAATTGAGAATTAATAATACGAAATTCATATATGACAAGAATTTTGTAATATTTATTACAAATTGAAAAATGAAAAGTAATATATTATTGAAATAAATAAATTGTAATAAGGTTAAAATTGTTCAAAAAAATTTTCTCACTTGATGTAATATTTAATATATTATAGATTTGCTACAGAGAAATGATTAGGGCTAGCCTGAGGCAATACAAATGTTTTGGGCTTCAATTGGTAAACAAAACTGAAAGGAATTCGGCACAATGATGCAAGAAAACCCATTGTTGGATTTAATATTTTGATTGCCTAGCTAACTTATTTTATGGTCTACTTACTTGGTGCAAAAACGTGTTTGAGAAATGTATAATGTAGCGTTTTAACTTACCTAATGAAATGGACGCCCAGGATGTCACCATGTGTCACCTCCTACACCATTGGATTGGAGACCATTGGGTGACTCTACAAAGGGCTTCTAGGGTTGCAATAGTGCACTTGCTCGAGATTTATCCTCTCCTTGTTTCTGTGCTGTTTGAGAGACTTCTTCTCCTTGCTCTCTGTTGAAATCAAATATTCTCTTTTGATTTTGTTTTCTCTCTCAAATTTGTGTAATCTTGTGTGATTCCATTTGAGTTTGAGTAGCTTTTTCTTGTGTGAACTGTTGTTTGAGTGAAGGGAGTTCTTTTGTGATATAATGGTTGAGTCTGAGTGTCCAAACCTTTGTAATCTTCACTTTGTGTTTTGTGTTTGATCGGTGGTTTTTCTTTCAGTGGCTGAGGCGCTGAACTTGGATTCTGGCTTGAAGGCTTTGACTAATAAGATTCACTTTACTTCATGTTATTTTATTGTTCGTTTATTTTGCATATTTTGTTATTCGCTTTTGAGCTAACTTGGTGAACTTCCTCTCAACGGTGGTATCAGAGCGTTTAAAGGAGGTTCTTGATATTGTGTATGGTCGATTTTGACACTGTGACTATTTTTGAGCTGCACTTCGTATTTCTTGAAACCCTAATAAGGGGATCTGGTGAAATCTTTCTTGTTTAACGGTTTTACTGTAACTCAAGTTTTTTTTTAATACTCGTTTAAGACGAATTTATATTTTTTGTAAAAACCTGATTCTTGGCATCTTGGTAATTCCTTTGTCCAGAAACATTGAGAGTTGTCTGGAATTTGAGGGTTACCTTGAATCCAGTCGAGGATCTTGATAGTTCTTGTTCTCTGAAAATCTTCTACTGTAGTTTTATATACACTTGATTGTCTTAATACATTACTATGATTGTATTTCTATTGATAAAATTGTGTACATTGTGATATAATTGAAGGTCTTGCTCTCTGTCAACTTTCCATTTGTGTATTCTGTATATTCCTTGAGTGGTGATACATGTTCTTGCTCTGCATTACAAGTTGCTATCTAGTGTCTGACTTATCTGCATATTTGTTCGTTTATTCTGCATATTTTGTTGTTCGTTTTTTAGCTAACTTGGTTAACTTCCTCTCAACAAGAACGGTCTTTAAGATTGTTTGGGTAATTGGAGATTCGTGGCCCAAGTGATGCCAGCCAGTTATGGGCATTAATCCATTAGTTGCAGAGCTCGGCCCACTATTAGTGTACATTAAAACAATCATTTATATGATTTAATGATCAGATTCATCTTTTACCTCGTTTTCCTCCCCCCTCTAGAGAATCCAGACAACGACGAAAGTCCTCGACAGAATCGAGGGACAACCCACTTATTATTATATTTTTCTTTCCAAAAATAGCAATAATAACATTCAAACCATGCATTTATCAAACATTATATGCCTAGAGTTTTTTAGCATATCTCACGAACAAGGAAATGTGTGCCAAGCCAGGGTGCTTAATTGCACCTCGTGCAGAGGCCATACCGATCCCATGAATTCATGTCCTAATTATCTCCACCCGTGACACTCCTCTATATAAAGATCGTACTTGATAACCATTTTACACAAACTTAATATTATGCAAATTGCAAGCTCTAAAATGATTAAGATACTTTACTTAGTAGTAGTGATCGCGGTGGTCGTCGCACCACATGCGGAGGCTGCAATCTCGTGCGGCACGGTGGCATCCACCCTGTCTCCATGTCTCAACTATGTCATGTACGGCGGCCATCAGGTGCCACCCAAATGCTGCGCCAATATTAAGTCGCTTTACGGCATGGCTAAGACCACAACTGACCGACAATCTGTTTGCACGTGCTTGCACACTGTGGCGGCCTCTGCCTCCGCGGCCAGCATTAAAAACGCGGCTGGCCTCCCGAGTAAATGTGGCGTTCGCATTCCATACAAGATCAGCCCATCCATGGATTGCTCCAAGTATATAACATTTTTACTGCATTCTGTGTTAAATAGTGTTTTTACGTGTCGTGCGGTATTTTTATAATGGTGTTTTATGTTGCAGGGTGCAGTAAAATTGAAGATGGAAATCATTGAATGGAAAATTTATGCTACGAATAATAAAAGAAGTTTATAATGGTGTTTTATGTTGCAGGGTTCAATTGGCTTTCTAAGGTGACCGACCTATTTTTGAATCAAAAGCGGTGAAAAACTTCAATTACGCAATTCGTTCTTCACTATGAACTGTGCTGCCGACTTTAATTAATGAATGAATTAATCCATTGCAACTACCCACTAACCCTCTCTACGTAGGCAGGTTTTACTTTCATATATTCACACGCTATGCATAAAATTCATTTATACAAACACAAATTATTTGTCTTAAGAAATAAAAGAGTATACAAGAAAATAGCGAATTTTATGTTATTTTGAGGATATCTTGACCTCTCAAACTAATATTTCTAGATTTTAATAAACCTCATATAAAAAGAATACACTTAACAAAACACTTTTTAACGAATGTGGTATTCAATTTATTGAAAATATATAAAAACAAGTACTATTTAGCAGACGAATATATATCATGATGTTTTAAACATGTATGAGAAAAATTTTAGTACTTTCGAATTAGAGAACTGAGTAGTCCATACGACTGTTTAATTGACATGTGTATTATTAATTCATTATTGTATCTCAATTAAATAGTAGGTCTCAAATATTTGATACACGTATTAAACAATGGAAAATACTTCTTGTACATACCTATTTACATAATATTTTACATAATGAATAGATGTCAAAATATAAGTGAGAAAGTTATTTGATTGATGAAATTTTGATTCAATTAAATCATGTCCCATCATGTGTTGGTAAATTATTGTGTAAATTGTTGTGTACATGTAGCACAAATCCAGTGACATTGAGTGTTGATTACTCCATACCTCAAAAGTAATGTATTTTTTTTTCATCATGTACATATTCATACATTGTAATAAACTCCATTAGAGCGTTTCTACGTACCTATGAACATCTCTTGCATATTGTAACCTAGTGTTTGCCTAACTTTTTAAGGCTAAAGAGTCTTCTTCTAAATTTAATGCACAAATATCAAGTCCCGTGTTAATCACGTTTTCTACAGCACGATATATCCTCTATATAAATACTAGATCGTCACAATCCCTTGACACTCAATTCAATGCCAATGGCAAAAATGACCATAGTTTCTTGTGTTATACTCTTGTTCATGGTGGTGGTTGCACCCTATTCAGAGGCAGCCGTTAGCTGCACACAAGTGCAGCGTAGCTTGAAACCATGTTTCAACTACCTCCTCAGGGGTGGCGCCACCTCGTCTCAATGTTGCACCGGTGTTAGAACTCTCTATGCCTCAGCTGGGACCACCGCTGATCGCCAAACCGTCTGCAACTGTTTGAAGCGAACTGCAAAAATCATTAAACGAATCAAATTAAGCAATGCTACTGTGCTACCCAGAAAGTGTGGCGTCTCCATTCCTTACAAGATCAGCCCCTCCACTGACTGCTCTAAGTATGCATCTCTTCTCTACTTCATGTTTATTTGTGCTTAAAAGTAATTTTGAGTAACTTAGTTGGAGACCATGTTTGCGGACATTAATTTACCTACTCTAATACATCGAGTTGTCCTAATTAAAAGCAAATAATTTTAGAGAGCGACTCAGCTATTTATTCAAATTTAATCTTTTAATATTTTTCAATTAAAAAGATATCTTCCTGGATAATATATATTTTGTTTTTTTGTTTCTTCGTTCCCAATTTCTTGCAGACTTAAGTGATAGGTGGACGAGGGATTATTTTCATTTAGTGGACGGAGACTTTTGCATTTCTTTGGATGTATGCCACACATTCAGTCGTTGTATGTAATTAACTCATTATTATGAGCAAGTTTGAATAAGTTTAAAAGGTTTACTTTTTAAAGTAAATTTTAGAGAAAATAAAATTTCTTATTGATGAAAGTTAGAAATAAATTTGTTATTTAATGTAAGTGAGGTTTTTTTTTTTAATGTATCCACATATATTTTAAAATTTAAAATTATCAAAAATTGGTGAATAATGCCAAGTTCAATTAGCATGATAAGTGAATACACAAGCTTCGTCAAACTTAAAAGGTGCTTAATATGCGAGTACTTTTAAATTTAAATTTAGCCAAACATGCTCTAAGAGCTACCCTGCCGCTTCTTATGAATCAAATAATACTAATTCTTGGACAACTAACAAATGTTAGTTTACGATTTTAAGACCAGTTGCAACATTTTTGGGTAAACGATTGAAAAAAAGAATAGATGTACAAATAAAAATGCAAGACTTATATATAACTTTAATAAAACATTTTGGGGTTCAAAATTAATCTTATGTTAACTTTTAAATTTATTGACCTCAAAATCTTGTTGTATATAGTTATCAACTAGTCACGCCATACACACCAAGAAAACAAGTTAGAATGTTTGGCCGACCCCACGGGTGGTCGGTCGAACAGATGTACTCGATGTTCAAGTTAAATTTAGAAACTTAGATGTGTTTGGTGGAGATTAAAATTAGATTTTTAGTATATTGTGATAGAAATTTTTGAAATTTCTGATTGAAAAGTTTAGGACCCACGAAATATGTGGTTAATATTGATTGTTTGACTTTGAGTTTGATTAAAATAAGATTTTAATCCAAACCAAATAGGAGCTTAGTGTGGAAAAACAAAATGATCATAGTTTTGGCATGGGCGAAAATTTTCACATACTTATAATGAAAATTAGCAATTAAATTATATATAGACAAATATGGGGAGTAATATGTGAGAATAGGAACAAGTGATTGTTATATGTCATGTCTCTATCATATGTTGTGTATGTAACACTCGAACATCTTCACAACTATAAAGATCCTAGTCTGAAGAGAACGGTGATGAAAAATAACCTAAGGGCCTGTTTGATCGGCATTTATTTTTCATAGAAGTTGGAATTGAAATTTCATTTTCTACTTTTGTCATGTTTGATGGCACTTTTTTTCCTTGGAATTGGTTTTCCACATTTTCATTATTTTGCATGGAAGTTGGAATTGAAATTCAATTTCCTACTTTTGCCATGTTTGAATACACTTTTTTTTTCCCTGGAATTGGTTTTCCACCTTTGCTAGTTTTCATGGTTTTAGTTGAATTGAAATTCCCACCTTTTAGGTGGGAATTGAAATTCCATCTTTTTTTTTTTTTTGGCAATTGAAACAAATTCTATTCCAAATTGTAAAAATTTATCCCTTTAATTGAAATTTTCATGTAAAACAAAATCAAACGAACACCAAAAGATAGAAAATTTCAACATTTTTCTGGTAGAAAATTATAACAATCAAACACAATTAATTAACAATTTTCAGTAAAACAAATTTTAGGCAATTCAATTCCCTGCAATTCGTTTTCTTTCCACCCAAATTCCATCTTTGAATCAAACAGGCCCTAATTTCAAATATTTGAGAATTTGGCCAAGTTTGCAATTATCTAATAGTTGAGGGGACTAAATTACACTTTTGAGAAAATATTCAGGAACTTAGAAAAATAATTTCTAAGTACGATTAAGGCCATGTTTGTTTCGGATTAAAATCAGATTTTAATCTAAGTCAAAGTCAAACAATCAATATTAACCTCATCTTTCATGGGTTCCACAACTTTTTCAACCACACATTTCAAAAACTTTTATCTCAATTTATTAAAAATCTAATTTTAATCCATACAAAATACCCACTTAAGTATTATTTAAGCATGAAAAATAATAATTTGGGCTTTATTTTAAGTTGGAAATTTTTTGCCTTGGAGATCCACAAAAGCCATCTTGGAGAATGAGGCCTAGTCACCTAGACCAATCCCATCCCAAACTTAAGCCCAAGAAAACAAGGAAAGAATTGAGCCAATTAACTTCATGAAAGGGGTGAGAAATTGCCAACTTAAGCGGTGAAATTAAGAAGAAATTCGATAAAGGGGACGATGATGAAGAAACTTGGCACCTTCCTACCTTTTGCATTCGGCCAACCTTTAAGCTAAATTCATTTCAACACATTGTCAATTAGACTTCACAAATAAAATCTAAATAATTAAGGATACGTCTAACAAAGTGTTTATAAATAGAAATGTTTATAGACACAAGTAAATGAATGGTTAAGAAATATGTAATACTTATGGATTCTATAAAATGTGCGTATAAAAAAAAGATGTAATCAGAATTGTTTTTTGACCAAAATTTTTATACACTTAAAAGCAATGAACGAAGATAGGCTAAGATAATTATACGACTCCCTCAAAAATAAATACCCCTACCCATCTCATTTCTCTGATCCTCAACCCTCTATCAAACGGCATGCACAAAACACATGCGCTAGCATATTCAAGAAAGAAAAGAAAAGTTACACTTGCATTCCGTTCTTGAACACCTCTCAAACCAATTTTTTAACATAGGTTTTCATTCAATCTCAATTAATTTTCAAGGTAAGAAAATCTTTTACAAGTGGCTATATTAATTTCAAGTAAGTCTACTTTTACAAAATGTTAGAAGTGTAAAATATTTTATAAGATAAGAAGAGATTAAAACGGGGAAATGTTCCAATCTTTTATTTCCCTAGTGGAGGTTGCGTGGGAGTAATTATACATATTCGACCAGCATTTAGTACTAATTGGTTGGAGAACCTAGGATTTTTGCATTCCATTAATTTAATTCAATACTAATCTTACGAATTTATAAACTTAATAATTTTGACTAAAATAATTTTATTTTTTACCTAGATCAAGATTACCCTCACCTACTCGAATACAAAAATAAAAATAAAATTTCTTGTGACATTAGAAATTAGAAATTAAAGAGAAAATTGATTTTATCCTTTTAATTTTTCGAGTAACTCCTAGTGCTATTTGTGCAAAATCTCCTCAACAAATTTACCCATCTTTCCGGGGTACCTGGACCCACTTGAGTTTCTTAGTCTCAACCAAGGTTCTTAAATGCGTAATGCGCAGCAATACGATTCGATCGAGCATTAAATATTACAAAAATATGTGTGTCTATGCGAAGCATATACGTAATAATGCATTTTAAAATTTTTAATATTCTAAACTAATAAATAAATAAAATAATGAATTTTTTTAACTGTATATATATTCTTCAAATTTAAAAAAAAATTGCTCAAAGTTATAAATACTGCAATTACTTGAACTTAAATATATATTTCAAACTTTTAACAAATGTTCAAAATCTTGAATACTACAATTATTTGGTAATCAATTTTTATAATTTGATTAGACACAAACATCGATTTAAAAAAATCCTAAATGATGTTAACTCTTTATCGAATGTTAATTCAAACTCTTTTTCATCCAAGTCATCTTTAGTGTCATTCGATGTAAAATCATCTTCTTCAAGCTCCCTTATTTCAACTCGAGAATTTCTATTATTTCTTATACATCTTATATCATTATTAACATCATCATCATCATCATCACAACTACCAAATTCAAGATTGTTCGTAACTAGCATCACTTGCTAGTAAAACTAAAGAAAGATTGAAGAAGAAGTAAGCTCGGGGTTCAACGTATATAGTTTGTAACTCTACGCAAAATTTCTTTTTATTTTTTTATTTTTTTAAACGTCAAAACTCTATAGATTGCTTTATATAATTCATGGACTTGGATGCTTTGGATTAATTTGATGTTTCTTGTGCTCAATTTGCTTTTTGTAAGTTATGAAAATAGGCTGAATTTTGCTATACTAATTTTAACACAAATTTTATTACAAATGCATGCGCATTTTGACGTTTAAGCGTGCATATACTGTTAACAAAATGGGTTGATCGCATTATCACGCACATACCTCATATGCGAGGCATTTCGGAATTCCATCGAGCATATATGGGTATATGCAAAGTATATGCGTGCATTTTAGAACACTGATCTCCACACATCTTTCAACAATAATTTTCTTTTTATTTTTCTCCAACAAATTTTCAATCCACTGTATAAATCCTTTAAGGTTAATCCCATCGATTTTGATATCATGTCATAATATTTGATAAGTTTTGGTACATATGTTATTTTACTGTTATTTTAACTTTGCACTTAATGTCATCTTGACCACTTTAATTTGTTTCAAATTAATAATTGAACTTTATAAAGTGGTTAATTCTAAACTAGTGATTTAGCTTGACTTCTATTTTTAACTTAAAATCTTGCATATTCGTGTTTCAAGTTATCAAACTATCAGGATTTTCAGTTAAATTTTATAACTTGACACACAAAAACGTTGAATGTTTAGATAAAAATGGATACCAAATTGAATTGGTAATTAGAATAAAACATTTTGTAAAATTCAATGATGAATCTGTAATAAATTATTATTATTATTTTTTTTGATAACCGTGAATGTTCGGGCTAATTTGGGTGCACCTCGACTAATCTCACGGGACCCTGAAGTTTACGGCCGAATACTCACTTCAGTGGCCATAAGAGGACTCGAACTAGTAACCATTGGGAAGCAAACTCATGGCCTGACCAATTGAGCAATCCTTCAAGGTTAATAAATTAAAGTTCAGTGATCAAAGTAACACTAAATGCAAAATTCAATAGTTGAAATTAACGCACATTTTCCTCTTGTCTGAACTTGGAAATTGGGAGTGGTTATAAAAACTTGAGTAATGCTATTTGTATACCATTGTGTACATAATAGTGTATAGATAGATGGCGTGAAAGATTAAAAAAAATTATAATAACCGAATTTATTTTATTTCCTTGTCTTTTTTCTCCTTCTCTCTCTTC